TTTGATCTGCAGCATTTTCTGTGAAGGCATGAGTCTGGTAGATAGGTACTAGCAACATCAACTGTTTTGTTACTTGCAGGGAGACTGAGGTGCTATGGTCTCCAAGATAGGCATGATGTGAAGAGCAGATGAATGGGATGAGAATGGTTATGGCCCAGTTGGATCTGGTGGTCAGTTAGTCCATAAGGAAACCTGTCTCCAAGCAGTGGAACAGCTGAATCCACATGACTTAGTCCATAGGCCGAAAAAAAAAAAAAAAAAAAAAAAAAGAGCAGCTTTAAAGTGCCCTGCCATGTAGGCCCATTCATCTCCCCAAAAGGGAAGCCAGTGGGATGCAAAGGAACAAGCACCTTTCTGTGTCTGGGAAGTGGCTGGTCTGATCATGCACACGAACACTTCACACCCACACCCACACACGCACACACACACATTATCAGAGTCCAATACACTTCACACACCCACACCCACACACGCACACACACGGATTATCAGAGTCCAATACACTTCACACACCCACACCCACACACGCACACACACACACATTATCAGAGTCCAATACACTTCACACACCCACACACCCACACGCACACACACGGATTATCAGAGTCCAATACACTTCACACACCCACACCCACACACGCACACACACGGATTATCAGAGTCCAAGAGCCCCAAGAGTCAGTTCTAGTAGAGAAGTCTGACATAATTCTCTACCATCTTACCTAAAACCAGATCAATCATTTAAATTAGGGGCCTGGGTTTTAGTGGCTTAGTAGCTCATTTTAAATTTTCCTTCTCCTTCGAAACAGAGAGGCCTGTGTACTGCATTATGCTGATCCGTGGGAGAATTCCTGTAGGAGGAAGAGGCTGAAACATTGGCCTAAATTTATTAAGCAGAGCTTTCATAATAAATATGTTGATACCATTTCTGAAAGATTTGAATATTTCTCTCTCACAGATGTATTGTTCAATTTTATTAGAGGAAATCATTCTTGTATCCTATTGGAATTGTTTAATTTTTGGGTATGATCTTAAGGTCCTTGATTTTAATGCTGTGGGAAATGAGATTCAGAGATTGAATAACTTGCCTTCCTTGACATTAACCGAGATAAGCTCCTGTTTTCAGAAGTTACAAACTTGGCTGGGCACGGTGGCTCATGCCTGTAATCCTAGCACTTTGGGAGGCCGAGGTGGGTAGATCTCGAGGTCAGAAGTTCGATACCAGTCTGGCCAATATAGTGAAACCCTGTCTCTACTAAAAATACAAAGAATTATCCAGGTGTGGTGGTGTGTACCTATAATCCCAGCTACTCATGAGGCTGAGGCAGGTGGATTGCATGAACCTGGGAGGCGGAGGTTGCAGTGAGCTGAGGCCATGCCATTGTACTCCGGCTGGGGTAACAGTGCAAGATTCCATCTCAAAAATAAAAAAAAAGTTAGAACCTCTTCAAATATTTCACTTTAGGCATGTGTTTTAAAAATGACAGTTGGATATGGTTGAGAGCTCAGTTGCTAAATCTGTGAAACAACTTGTAACACATGTTTAACCAAATAAAATTATTTTTCCCAGCTCATCCTGGGCTGACAGCTCCCAAAAACTGTGTTCACCTTCATTTTCTCCTCATAAAAAGGGAGCTATAGCTATTTTTAAACCTGGGGGGCGTTGAAGAAGAGAATGTAAATCATAAATCTAGGTTAGTTGAATTTATTCAAGAAATTGCCAGACTGAATATGAATACTTGTGGAGTGTAAGTGAAACAAAAATGAAGCCTTTGGTGATCATAGATGTATTATCTATCTATCTTTCATCCCAGATTGGTTTTAGAATGAGAAAAAAAAAGTGATTTTCTCATTTCTTACTCTTACACAATGAAGTGATTAGCTAAACTGATACAAAGTGGCAACTTTAATGATCATTCTGTTGCAATATTGTTTACTAGCAAAACAACAAGTCCAAACAAATACCAGTACTGTACAAAGAAAATCCCTATTCTGTGTAGCAAATGTTGGTCAGACTTTCACCAGTGAGCCACGTATTTGAAAAGGACTTGACATTGAGAAACACCTCTGATCAGTCTTCGAGGTTTGTAGTAACAAACCATAACAGATCTCCTACCACCTTTCTGTTTAGGCCCCAATATGAAATGCATATGAATGTTATAATTTTGTATAATTCCAGGAGAAACAACCAACATTATTCACCTTTTTTTCCCAATAGTGAAAACCCCCAAATATGATAAATTTATGGATTCTGCTTTTTGCTGAACACAATACTTTACAGATAACATCTGGTGACAAGCCATAACTCTTCTTATTTTATGTAATGAGGAACCTTAAATACAGAAATCTTTAAGGACCTATTCAAAGTCACACAAATACTGAGAAAATTATATGGTAATAATTTTATCTGCAGATCAGATCTTACCTTACTTTCAATAATCAACATAGGGCCAATCGGTTGTCTTATTTTACTACATACAACATCTTATTTTAGAATCAAAGAATGCCATGCCTATATGCCACCAGGAACACCTGAACTACCTATTCAAAAACTTTCATCTTCATTCTTCTTGGAGACATTATGTTGTCATCACCTGCTGCCACTAGATGGTGCTTGTCATCGAAACAAAGGTCTTTCCTCCTTTCTGTTTTCTTTAGATGCCTATTAGGACCTTGGATGATAGGAAGGAAACTTGATTAATAAGCTAAGTACTGGGCAGATATTCTAAGAAGTCATTTAGTACAGAGAGTTACTGATTAAAAAGTAAACAAATGATTATCAGTAAAGCTTACTTACAGTGTTTTTCTAGTTCTATCCATTTTTCTGCTCATTCTTTTTGTCACTAAGCTGTGTGAACCCCAAGGCAAAAAGAACCAATAAATCTTTCTCTGGGCTTGTGAGAATCAAGAGGTATAACACAAGTTTTAGGAGAGGCAAATAAAAATCTTAGGATTCATGGTTATCACCTGGAAAAGCAATAGAAAGTGACCACATGCAGAGTTTATTAGAAAAATTAATCCATGACCTTTCAAAAGAAAACACGCACATATCTAGTGGACACTAATCAATAGGAAATAAAACATGCTTTTAATTGTGGGATAGCAAACATCAAGTAATGAAAATGATAACAGAGGTTGCAAACCCTTTGCCAAAGACAACTCTTTTTCTCATTAATTTAAGACACATACCAAATCTCACCTCCATAGTACTTTCATTCTCTGCCTGCCTCCCACCCCACACACCAACTTTATGCTTCTTTTAGGGTAAATTCTTGCCAATCTTGGTACTGAAATGCCTTCGGGAGTTACCTATTTAGCTTATGTGAAGGAGAATTTGATATATTTTGCAGCAGAATGCTTGCAAAATGTGTTTCTTAAACTTTTTTTTTTCTTATTAACCAACACTGACTGTTCATGGCTGCTTCATGATTATAATGAGAAATTGCCAGCTATGTTGAAATACATAATCCACAGTGTGAAAAACTGCTGAACAGCAGTGGCAAATTCTTAATACAAAAGTGACTTCCCTTTGCCTATTAGCTTACTTTGGGGTTGCTGATTCTTGCAAACTGCCTGTGTAGGGAGTAAGAGTTAATTTTAACATTATTCTAGAAACAGAATATAATTACTTAGGTGAAAACTTTAAAGCTAATTTTTTGTTTTATCTTTGGTTTTGAGTGTCCCATTAACAATTCCTGGTGATATTCTGATGAATATCACTGCAGTGGGTTATGTAGAATGTGTGAACATATATGTGAGCCAGATGTGACAATAGACACGTGACATTAGTACATTTTAATTGTAGACATCAGACAGATTGGGGTGGTTACTTGTGCCTTCTAAGCATTAACTAAGGTTTTTAAAGGTACAAGTTTTTTAAAAGATACAAGCTCCACACCTGCTTTCCAAGCACTGGTCAGGCACCATGGATCTCTGGATCTCTTCCAGTTTTGAATACTAGAAAGAAAAGCCTCTGTCCTCAAATCCTCAAATCATTTCCTCCCCACCCCCATTTTTTTTTTTCCCCTTGGAGGCTCTATTAGCTATAGCTTTGTATTGAAGAAAGACTGGGAACAAGGAGAAGATGATATGTGAAATCATTTCTCTTGAGCTACGTGTTTTGGTGGCTACTGTTGAAAACACAATTTGCTCAGTGACGGCCGCATATACATTACATATAATATGTATTACTAGAAAATGATATACATTTGCATGATATACCATGCGGTTGAAATCCATTAAGTGACTATTCTCTAGCAGTACCCGGAACAATAGATGGTGTCTGTGCTGACAGTCTGTTCATATCTTATTGGTTTACTTAATGATTCAACGGTTTACTGATGGCATTGGTGCTGGGTCATTGGTATATTATTTGCTTGGCAAAGGGTACTTGAACCTCATTAATTAGACTTAGGAACAGAATAAATACAAATAATCACTTTGCATGCTCAAGAAACCACTTTGAATGGTAAGGCTGTTTTCCTAACTCCCAAGGAAGACAGAAAGGCACCAGTGACATAAGTGAAGGACACAGTTTGACAACCACCTTATCCTTAGACAACTCTTGCTAAAGGTGAACAATGACTTAATACTGTGTTATGGCAGCACTCTATACGCCCCGAGTTTTAGAAAGTAGAGTCAAGAGTGATTTAGACTGGAAAAAGCATGCAATTTTAGGTCTGCTTGGAAGCACAGGCTCTCCCCACTGGGGAACTCTTCTGAGTAAGACAAAAACCTGGACCTAGCACCCAGCCCACGGCGTGAGAGAGAAGGAATCCGGGAGGCAAGAGCGACGGGTCTGGAAACGGGTCCTTCGCCACCTCCGCGAGGGCGCTGCGCGCAGAGTCCGAGCCCCCGGCGGAGGCGGCGCGGCTCTAGGCCCCTCCCCGCCGCGGAGGCCCGGACGGCTGACGCCGAGCGGCGGCCGGGAGCGGTGGGGGCCGGGCGGGCGGGCGCGAGCGAGGGCAGGGCAGGGGGCCGGCCGAGGCCACTTGCGGCTTTAAATATGGATCGCAGGCTCGCGCTCGCGGCACAGCCTTCGTCGCGGCCGCCTTCCCTGAGCCCCTGCACCCCGGCTTGCTCCCGAGGGGCGCCCGGGCTGGGCTCCACTGCTGCAGTGTTAGTTACTGGCAGTAACATCAGAGATCCCCATAAATATGCAGGAGCTGCAGGAGGCAAAGTAGAGTAGACGCTCGCGCTCTCACACGTTCGCTCGCCGCGCACCACGCGGGCCGTGTAGACCTCGCCCCCGAGCCACCTTGTCCCCCTTCCTCGCAGGCCGTTCAGGTTCCACTGCTGCCTGCTCCGAAGACCCTCCCGCCCCAGCGCCTTTGCCCCGCTCTCCCGCGCTCGCCTCCCTCCGGAGCGCGCACCCACCCAAGCGGCAAAGTTGTGACTACTTGGGCGCGGGTGACCGGCGCCCCGCTCTTTCCGCGCCCCGCGCAGACAACTTCCCGCGGCTCGGCCCCGCCGCGTCCCAGGCTCGCGCCTCCGGGGATTCCGCGGCCCCCCAGCCTCCAAACCCGGCGGCGCGCCGGGCAGCGCTTCGGTGGCGGCGGCGGCCGTAGTGGCAGCGAAGGCGGCGGCGGCGGCGGCAGTGGCCGCTGCAGCCCCACACTCCGCCGCCAAACTGGAGGAGCGACGGAAGCCGGACCCCAGGAGGTGAGCGCCTGGCCCCGGCAGCTGCAGGGAGGGTCGGTGGGGTCCCTCGCTCCGCGGCCGCGGCGGGCGCGGGCCCGGGGGCCGATCCCGGAGGGCGCGCAGGCGGCCTCGGCGCGCTCCTGGGAGGGAGAGAGAGGTCAGTTGCGGGCCGGGCATCCTCGGAGCTGGGCGCGGGCGGTGTGTGGCTGTGGCGGCTGCTCGCGGAAAAGTACTTTTTTTTCCTTCTTAAGGTTTAGAGGAAGAGTTTGGGTGGTCCCGCTCCTGCCTCACTGCTAAGCCCCCTGCGCCCAATTGGGCGTCGTTACGAGGACTGCGGGGCCAGTGTCTGCGGCGGGCTGGGCGCAGGCTCAGTGACACGTGTGTTGCTGTGAGCCTGGGTGGTCGCCCTGTGACCAGGCACCTGCTTGAGAGGAACGCATCCCCAAATCCATTACAGGGGGAAACGTGGGGACTCTCGGTGCTACCGAGGCCGCGGCCCTCACGTCACTGCCCGCTCCAAGACGGAGCATTTACATCTCTCTCTGGCACACCGAATGCGGGGGGTGAGTCAGGCAGATTGCAAGTGGCACACACACATTTATTTGCAATGGATTTGGATAGGGGAGGCAGAGGTTAAACTGGAATTTCTTTTGGCCAGCAACAACGGACCTCTTCCTCAGGTACTGGGCAGAATGTGCATCTTGGCAAAGAGAGGTGATTTCTTTTTTCTTAAGTGCATTTTACTCAGCCGTTGCCAGTCCGTTAATAAGTCACCAGAGGAAGGCAGGAGTTGGGAACTACATCAGCAAACCGCAGCAAGCACCATTAAGACAAAAGTTCTTATAGAACAAAAAGAAAAACTTGAACTTGACGTGAAAGATGGAGAAGGAAGCAGTTCTACCACTGTTCGGTCACTTTTTTCAGCGCCCTGTAAAACTGTTTTTCTACACTTTCTTCCCTCTCAAGGCCCTACCTTTTCTGCATAATTGATCGCAGCAAGCTCTTTCCAACTTGACACTGAAGAGCAGCGACCCCTTTCGCTTACCCTCCCCATTTCTTTTCCTAGTTCACTTCAGTGGCCTGGAAAGTTGCTCCTAATGAGAAATCAAGAAGACTGGGCTGTACTAAACGCTCATTGTCTCAAATCCTGGAACAGTTCCTTTCCGAAGAGGCACTGCATTGTACTGTATTTCTCTTTTTTCTTGTATCTTGGAACTTGGAGTTGTAATATTAACCTGAATTACATTAATTAAAGTGTGGATTGCTCATTTGGGCTTATTTTTTTTTCATTGTGATTTGAGTAGATTCGTCAATACCATTAGAACAATATTCAGTAGTTTTTTTTTTTTTTTTTTTTACAGCCAATGTAATGTCTTTTGAAAACACTTCTGACTACAACTCTCTTGTGTCTATCACATTAGCATATAAATAATTTACATAGCCATTTTAGTACTTGGACTGAAGATATTAGTGTAACTTCATTCAAAGGAAGTGTGCCTGTTTATTTTTCTATAGCTTTTATAACAGAAAAAATTTTTACTTTCATTTTAGAGTTAAAAGTTCTGATAGGATTCTGGTCTTTGTGTTAAATCTTGAAATTGATTTGCTTTAACCGTCTCCCAGACTTTGAAGTAAGATGACGTAAAACCTCATGTATGTAGGTGGAGACAGGAAAGCAGTACCACTGCGTTATGAACTGTTGAGGCAGAGAGCATTTGTAGGAATGGGGGTGGCAAGAGCAAGACTGGATATTTTGATAGTTCCAGGCATGTTTGAAAAAACTGAAAACTAAGAAACCCCCAACATTTTGGATTAAGTGTTCTTCAAACTAAGGGTTTTGGTGCCATTTGCTCTTTTTTTTTTTTGATATGGAGTCTTGCTCTGTGACTGGAATGCGGTGGCGCAATCTTGGCTCACTGCAGTCTCCATCTCCTGGGTTCAAGCGATTCTTCCACCTCAGCCTCCCGAGTAGCTGGGACCACAGGCGCACACCACCATGCCAGGCTGATTTTTGTATTTTTAGTAGAGGGTGTTTCACCATGTTGGCCAGGATGGTCTTGTTCTCTTGACCTCGTGATCCGCCCACCTCGGCCTTCCAAAATACTGGGATTACAGGCATGAGCCACCGCGCCCGGCCCCATTTGCTGTTTTGGGGTCATTTCTGGAGACTTATAAACATACATTAGACACCTTACCCAATTACATTGACAGGATGTACTGTCAGTTTAGATTAATGTATTTCTTTTAGTTCATGTAGTCAGTATTAAATAACTTGAGAAGTTTGAATGTTAGTGCTATTATTTCAGTCTTTTTTTTTTTTTTTTTTTTTTTTTTTTTTTTTGAGGTGGAGTTTTTGCTCTTGTTACCCAGGCTGGAGTGCAATGGCGCGATCTCGGCTCACCGCAACCTCCGCCTCCTGGGTTCAGGCAATTCTCCTGCCTCAGCCTCCTGAGTAGCTGGGATTACAGGCACGCACCACCATGCCCAGCTAATTTTTTGTATTTTTAGTAGAGACGGGGTTTCACCATGTTGACCAGGATGGTTTCGATCTCTTGACCTCGTGATCCACCCGCCTCAGCCTCCCAAAGTGCTGGGATTACAGGCTTGAGCCACCGCGCCCGGCTATTTCAGTCTTTTAAATGATTAAGAGACATTTTGGATTTACAAAAATGTTGTATGAAAGAAATACAGGCAATCAGATTTAGAGGAATAATGCGATAGAAATCGGGTAACCTTTAGGACAACTTCCAGTAGGCCTTGATGGTTATCTCACTTTTCACTGAGTGCTGGCAGGTAGAGTTTTGAGGTTCTGATCCCTTGTTCTGATAGCAGGAGTGATATCTGGCCATGCTTACATCTTAAAGGAAAAGAAAACACTTAAGGAAATGGAAACTAGCTGGTGAATCATGTAAATAAACAGGATTCCTTGCCTGCCTCTGAGAACACTATAGACCATGAGGACTACTTTTCTTAGGGGAGAAGAGTCCTGAGAGACTGCTGGACTTAAGTGTGGTGAGATACATTATCTTTTTCTTAGAGTTTCTTTGGCTTTATTTAAAATAATATGAATGAAATCGAAGATTGGAGTTGATAGATAAGATTGGGATTGGAAAGAACAAACTGAGAAGAGGAAAATCTAATGAGGATTAAAATTTCTAAGCAGCCTTTTCTTGATTGCTAAATGGAAGGAATCAAAATGCATGATTTGATGGGACAAAGGAAGCTATAAGTAGAACATGTATCTCAGTTGATGCTGTTTCCAAGGACAACCTGTGATTTATGAAATTTATGTATTTTTTAGGGAGTCATTTAGCAAAATGGATAGTTAAAGAACATCCAGGAAGCTAGTAAGACTTAACAAAACTAGAACTTACTATTTTTACATAATGTAGAAATCTTAGAGGAAAGAAGGAATAAGTTTTATATAAGGTCAGGGCTAAGTTGTATTCCAAATATATTTTGTTTTTCTCCCAATAATTAAATATTTGATACATTTGGGTTGCAAAATAGAAAATATGCTGCTGTTCTTCTGACATGAAGATGATCTTTTATATTCTCAGGAGTGTACACCTTTGGTTATTTTTCCAGCACTAGGGACGGGTTCCCCTTTACTCAGTTCTGCCTAATGTGTGTTTACACGCACACATGCACATGCACAGACACATACCCCCTAATTTGTAGAGGTGGCTGATTTAATTTTGTGGGAAGCCATATTAACTACTTTCATAATACTTCTGTGGCAGTGGCTTTTATTGCGTTTTGGCAGTCTCAGCAGTGCAGTGACATTTCTAACAAGACATTGAAAATACAAGAGCCAGATGTAGTGATCTTAGATACTTTGGAGGCTGAGGTGGGAGGATCACCTTGAGCACAGGAGTCCGAGGCTGTCATGTACTAATATGCTATAAAATTATGCATGTGAATAGCTACTGAACATCAGCCTGGGCAATATGCTGAACATCAGCCTGGGCAATATAATGGACAAGTGGGCTGGGCTTGGTGGCTCAAGCCTGTAATCCCAGCACTTTGGGAGGCTGAGGTGGGTGGATCACAATGTCAAGAGATCGAGACCATTCTGGCCAACATGGTGAAACCCTGTCTCTACTAAAAATACAAAAAAATTAGCTGGGCGTGGTGGTGTGTGCCTGTAGTCCCAGCTACTCGGGAGGCTGAGGCAGGAGAATTGCTTGAACCTGGGAGGTGGAGGTTGCAGTGAGCCGAGGTTGTGCCATTGCACTCCAGCCTGGCGCCTGGTGATGGAGTGAGACTCTATCACACACACACACACACAAATGGACAAGTGTATAAATGCTAATGGCTTTATTTACTTGCTGTGGCAAAGGAGAGATAAAACTTTTTCTTCCAATCTTCTTAATGATGCCAATAATTTTATTCCTTAATGATAATGTCTTACCTGACTCTAAGGATAGATGATTCCAGACTTACTATGTTCGATTTAAAATTTTTCAGAATTACAATGGTGTAAAAGCATTCACATTCAGTAGGAACTGTACTTCGAGTACTGATAACAACATTCCGTTTTTCACTTTCAGTACAGTATTCAATAAATTACATGAAATATCCAATAATTTATTATAAAATAGGCTAGGCTTTGTGTTAGATGGTTTTACCTAGTAGGAGAATATAAATGTTCTGAACACATCTAAGTTAGGTTAGCCTAAACTATGATGCTCAGTAGGTTAGTTGTATTTGACACATTTTTACTTATAGTATTTTCAATTTATGATGGACTTATCAGGATATAACCCATTGTAGGTTCAGGAGCCTTTGTATTGGAAAAGGATGGTGGTAGAAACAGTAATGTTGAAACTATGTGCCTCTGTAGTTGTTTGTGTAAACCAAAACATCGTCTTCCTTGAAAACGAAGTAAATGTAAGGGATTGTTGCTCATTGAAATGAAGAGGAAACTATGATAGAGAATTCTCTATGCTTTTCTTAAAGGTAACTGTAAATTATTGGTGGAGGTAGGAATGAATATTTTATCTTTTGACTGGTGATAT